GAGGAGGGCACCCCCAGCCTGTACTGGTGCATGGGGTTGTTCCTCCCCAGTCTTGCCTTCCTGAGCGCTGAACTGCATCTTCCAGTAGCTGGTCAGCCCGGACCGGACGGCAAGCAGCAGTCGCTGGGGTGCAGCCACAGCCCATCGGCTTCTTCCCCCTCGGCGACGGCTCTAGGCCGCTGTCCTCTGAGTCGTGTCTGCAGAAGAAGACAGGCCTCAGGGTACGCTGCCAGGGCTCCTCACCTCCTGGGAAATGGTGGCTGACTTCGGAGGCCAACAGCGTCCCCAGCCCCGCGCTGCAGGCTGGGCTCAGCAGCTTCTCAGCCATGATTTTTAGTGCGATCTCTACGACTTTATCACGCTGTACGCACCGCATCTTCCAGGACCAGGTTCTACAAAGAGAAGCCCTGTTGTGGTTAGGTTAAAGATTTGATGCTGAATGTTCTCCAAAGCCAAAAAAGCCATAAAAAAGAAAGAGACTGAGGTTTTTGTAATTCAGTAAGATGTACATGTTAGCAGGAAAGAGACTACTGTACTTTATGGAGGAGCCAATGAGACCCAGCAGGCCAATATATTCTAGATGAAATATTATCACAAATGAGGATGTGTTTTTATTCAAAGCACCCGCTGTTTACGTTAGATTTTGGGCAGCTGGGTGGCCTCATTCAATGGTTCCCTTCCTTTGTTTGGGTTTGCTTTTTCTTATTAACCTTTCTGTGTAATTATTAATATAACCTGTTTATGAATTGGGCTTTTTTCACTGCTTGCATTGTAATTGAGATACAAGTCCATATTCTCGTTTATATTTGCATTAGAGTTAAGTATCTATCAATTGAATAAGTGGGTTTTAAGAGGTGCTTAGTTCAAGGCGCCAGGTTCCTTTGCCATAAATTAAAATTTCCAGAAATAAACAGAGCAGCCATTTTATGAACTAGAAGGACAAATGAAACCTTATTGCAGCTCCTAGTTCCTGACTCTACGGCACCAGTCCAGCTACATCTCGCCTCTCCCTTCCCCAAAGCCTAGGATAAGAGGTGGGTCACCCACCAACCACGCAAGCTCCCTGCGGAAGGGGAGTAGGCCTTCTTCAGGCATGAAACCAGGCCAGCACGTTGGTTACTGAAATACCATAATTCAAAATTACTTGGAGGTTCTGATGAAGCAGGAAAAATTCAGCTCCCATCACACCCACACTATATGCACCCACTTTCATTTTCTAAGTCGTACGGTTCCTTTCTTCTCTAGTCAAAGGAAAAAGATTGGCTCCTTCGAGAAGGATTCAGCACACACAGGTTAGGCTCCACTCCCAGCCTCTTCTGAAGGAGTTTTTCTTTCCCTTGACAGCAGAGCCTTAACCAGATGCTAAAAGTTGGAGTAGAGTTACAGGGGGGGAAATCCAAGAACATAGACTGAGAGAAACCCACCAGCCAGCACAACACAGACAGAGAGGGCAAAAGGGTTCATCACTTCCAGCTCCAGTCATTTTTAAAAAGGGTTCATCACTTCCAGCTCCAGTCATTTTTAAAAAGGGTTCATCACTTCCACCTCCAGTCATTTTCAAAAAGGGTTCATCACTTCCAGCTCCAGTCATTTTTAAAAAGGGTTCATCACTTCCAGCTCCAGTCATTTTTAATTCACTCCATGCTCTTGTGGAGTGCAGATTGCGATCAAGGATGCAGAATTTATCTGGAAATCATCTTAACCTCAAGACCGAAGAGCAGGCATATCCCAAATACAAACATTAATCCTCCCTAAAATATTGCAGTGTTTATTATTTCATAGAAAGAAAGGAGAGTTACGTAGCCCTCATGGTGAAGAACACCACTTCACAGTTTCTCTGGGGTCCCACTTTTCTGCGAGTTGTTCAATGGCTGGCGAATACAAGTCAATAAATGCACATAACTGTAAAAGTACGTTTGCGCAACCCTCCAGGACATTCTTGTACTTTTATCAAGGCTTTCTGGCGATAGCATAAACCCACATAAGCAAAGAACTGCTACTCTGCTTCTGTGGCTAAGTCCCACACGATAAAAATACTGCCTTCAGTTATTTACACTGGAGGGTGCATTTTATTTTGATGGGGAAAGGGGGAATGCTTTTTATATCTGACTTCTAATTCCTCCTGCAAAAGCAGAGATTAGACCATGACAAGCGTTATTACGGACAAGTGAAGAAAAACAGCATGTTTCCCCCAGAAACGTGAAACGCTGTAATACTGTGCTAAACCTTTCAATAGGGCAAGACGTTTCTTTCCACAAACGTTATTTCCCCACGGAACAGAACATTTTTTCGAAGTTGCTAGACCTCTCTGCAGTGCACAGGCAAAAATGTTCCCTTCTGGAATCTGCTCACAGGCCGGGCGCTCGCGGGGAGAAGGCCAGCAGCTTAACTCCCCTGGGCAGCATCGCCTCTGGGGTGCCACTGTGCTGCTTGTCAGAGCTGGGTTTGCTGAATGCTGATTTGATACCAGCATAAACCCCACGCCCGTTACTAAAACGAAGCATCTGAAACAGGTTCGCTCTTGCTAATGCAGGAATTGTTATAAACATGGGGTTTTACCATCTAATTAGCCCAGGTGAGTGTTTTGTATATAACAAGAAAGGATTATGGATTTGCTTTGCATACGACACACATGTAACACCAGGAATCATTCCCATGTTTACTAGAATAAGCCTTTGTAACACTTAGGAAGTACCAGAAGGCATTAAAATAAGTATAGCTGTAGCCTTAAGTACGTTAGGTGTCCCTACACTGTCAAGATGTGTAAATAAGAATCAAACTTAGCATGTACCAACGCTGCCAAGGTATGCATCATAAACCCGAGAGCGCAGCAGCTTAGCTACTTCTTAGCTTTTACTCTGAAGAACCTGGATTTTCAAGAACTACAGGTTCAAAAGCCAGCATATCAGTTCCCACTTTAATGCCTCCAGTTACGAAAACAGAATACTAAGCGGTGTAAGCTGGGTATTTATATTAAAAGATCACTTAAAATCTTCCTAAAGTTGGGGTTGGTTTTTATTTTTTTTAACTCCAGCGCGTG